GTTTTAAAATTTGGGGCTGGAAGTTGGCTCAGTGGTAGAGTGCTTGCCTTGCATGCATGAGGCCCTGGGTTCGATTCCTCAGCACCACATAAGCAGAAAAGCCAGAAGTGGCTCTGTGGCTCAAGTGGTAGAGCGCTAACCTTGATCTGAAGAACTGAGGGTCAGTGTCCAGGACCACAGTTCAAGCCCCACGACCAACCAAAAAAAAACCAAAAAGTTTTAAAGTTCAGTACATTTTCAGGGGCCAGCTTGAGAGCGGCGCTTCCCCAGACTACTGCCCTGACCTGCTGGGAGCTGTCTCTTCTGGTGAGTCAGGTAGAACCTTGTGTGTGTGCACGTGCACAGGCCCTCATGCCTGTGGGTGAGCCAGCACTGGGGTCGAACGCCAGGCTTTACATTCTTCCTTATGTTTTTTGCTCCAGGCTAGTGCTCTTTCACTTGAACCAGAGCTCCACTTCCAGAAGGCTTTTGGTGGTTAACTGGAGATAAGTGTGTCTCATGGAAGTTCCTGCCAGGCTGAACCTTGATCCTCAGATCTCAGCTCCTGAATTGTTAGGATTACAGATGGGGGCCCCGATAGAATCTTCCAAGAATGACTGTTAGGACCATCTGAGCCAGTGTGTAACTCAGTGTCGATGGGCTGCTGGGTGGGAGCTGGGGTGTGCGCAGTGAGAGCTCTAGAACCACAAACAATCAAGCAAGCTGAGACGGCATTACCAGGTTAAGTATTGAGTGTTGCCACACTTACTAGTCTGTGGCCTTTTTTTGTGAAAAGGTCTTGGCTGAGGCCTAAGCTGACTTGACCTTACATTCCTCTATCCACTCCTCTTGCCCGCCTCCCTCCCACAGCACCCCCCCTTAGCTCTGGGCAGATCTGTCCTGTTTCTGTGCACCGATAGGATTTCCCCTTGTGTGGGAACCTGTGGTCTGTCCCGTGTGGGGAACTGTGGTCTATCCTGTGGGAACTGTGGTCCGTCCTGTGCCATCGTGTGTGGGACCTGTAGTTTGCCCTGTGGTGACCTGTGGTTCATCCTGTGTGAGGGCCTGTGGTCTGTTGTATGTGGGACGGTGACTTGTCCTGTGGCCCCTGTGCTCCTCCCCTCGATGATCTGTGCGCCATCCAGATTCAAGGCCTTCCTTCACCTTGCTGGTCTCTGGTTTCTTTTCTTTCTGCAAATGATTTTCACGTAATCCACTTAAAACATGTTGTGATTCCAAGTTATAGTTTCAGGGCTGGGAAGGTGGCTCAATGGTAGAGCGCTTGCCTTGCATGCCTGAGGCCCTGGGTTCGATTCCTCAGCACCACATAAGCAAAAAGAAAAAAGCCGGAAGTGGCCCTGTGGCTCAAGAGGTAGAGCGCTAACTTTGAGCTGAAGAGCTGAGGGACAGCGCCCAGGCCCAGAGTTCAGGCCCCACGACCGGAACAAAAACAAAAACAAACGAGTTATAGTTTCATCAGTTCTCAAATTTAGCATTCATCTTTTATGTGTGTATGCCAGTACTGGGGCTTGAACTCGGGTACTCAAGTTCTCGCTTAGCTTTTTCATTCAAGGTTGATGGTCTACCACTTAAGCAATAGCTCCACTTGCAGCTTTTTGGTGATTAATTGGAGATAAGTATCCCACAGACTTTTCTGCTCAGGCTGATTTTGAACCAAGATCCTCAGATCTCAGCCTCCTGAGTTGCTAGGATTACAGGTGTGAGCCACTGGTGCCTGGCTGGTAGTTGATTTTTGTTTTTTGTTTTTGCCAGTCCTAGGGCTTGAACTCAGGGCCTGAGCACTGTCCCTGAGCTTCTTTGGCTCAAGGCTAGTGCTCTACCACTTGAGCCACAGCGCCATTTCCAGCTTTTTCTGTGTATGTGGTCCTGAGGAATGGAACCCAAGGCTTCATGTGTGCTAGGTAAACACTCTATCACTAAGCCATGTTCCCAGCCTTGGTGGTTTCACCTTTGACCACCAGGTCATGGCAGTATTTGTTTCTCCAGGGTGAGGTCATGCTTTCCGCCTTCTTTTTTGTTGTTGTTGTTGTTGGTCATAGGGTTTGAACTCTTGGCCTGGGCATTGTCCCTCAGCTCTTCAGCTCAAGGGGGAGCACTCTACCGCTTGAACCACAGTGCCACTTCCGGTTTTTCTGGTGGCTTATTGGAGATAACAGTTTCACGGACTTTCCTGCCCGGGCTGGCTTTGAACCGAGATCCTCAGATCTCAGCCTCCTGAGTAGCTAGGATGACAGGTGAGAGCCACCAGCGCCCAGTGCTTCCCCCTTCTTAACAAGGAAACAGTTTGCTGGTTTGCCACTGAATTTCGTGGGCACTCCATCTGCCCCCTTCCAGCCTGCAGAGTTCGTTCTGATGGCTTCTCCTGCTGGTGTGTTCTGTCCTGTCTATGTGCAGCTCTGGGGGCTGCAGACCTCCAGCCATCATCCTGGCTCATGGCCAGGATCATCCTGGAGCCATAGGCAACGGAAGCAGTGCCCTTCATCTCAGATCCTCATCACTGGTCTGTATCTGCCAGGTCCTCAGTCCTGATCTCGATTTGCATGTTTCCTGTCTGACCCTGTTGGGTCTGCTGCTAGCTGCTGTGGTTGGTGGGGTCACCCTGGGCAAGGCCGCAGAGCAGTCTGGATGCCACACCTCCTCCCCTGCTCCGTGTCAAGATGTGATGAGCTCTGAGTGCCCGTATCACCCTGGGACTGAGACTCCTCACTTGACCAGGGTCACGTGTGTGGGGGCGGGGCTTCCAGGGACCATTCACCGGCTCTGGTAGGGAGCAGATGCCCCCGCCTGTGAGATTGCGTGCCTGTTGTCCAAGGCCCTTTGTGTCTGTTTGTGCAGGTAAAACTGGGTCTTTTTTTTGGTCAGTTATGGGGCTTCAACTCTGGGCTTGGGCGCTGTCCCTGCGGTCTTCAGCTCAAGGAGAGCGCTCTACTGCTTAAGCCACAGTGCCACTTCCGGTTTTCGAGTGGTTTATTGGAGATAACAGTTTCACGGACTTTCCTGCCTAGGCTGGCTTTGAACCGAGATCCTCAGATCTCAGCCTCCTGAGTAGCAAGGATGACAGGCATGAGCCACCGGTGCCCAGCAGGTTGTGGTTTTGGTTTTTTTTCTTTTCTTTTTTGTCAGTCATGGGGCCTGAACCCTGGGCCTGGGCACTGTCCCTCAGCTCTTCAGCTCAAGGCTAGCGCTCTGCCACTTGAGCCACAGCACCACTTCTGGTTTTTTCTGCTTATGTGGTACTGAGGAATCGAACCCAGGGCTTCATGCATGCAAGGCAAGCACTCTACCACTGAGCCACCTTCCCAGCCCCAGGTTGTGGTTGTTGTATCAGTACTGGGACCTGAACTCAGGGTTTCTTGCTTTCCCTTGACTTCGTCATTCTACTTCTACTTTGGCACTTTACTTCCGAGCCGTCCCTTGACTTTGCCAGTTGATCGGAGGGAAGAGTCCCTCCAACTTAGTCATCCCTCAGAGTGCTCTGCTAATTTTCTCTCTGGTTTGCTGTTACGCGCCTGGACCCAGGGGGAGGGGTTTGAAGTCTGGAACCTTCTTTCCTGCCTTGTGGAACACTGGAACCAGCCTTGCGGTTACAGCATCTTGGTTGACTTTCTTCCTTTCTGGGCTTTCCTTTTCTTTCTTTTTTTCCCCCCTTCGGTCCTGAGGCTTCAACTCTGGGCCTGAGCAGTGGTCTCTGAGCTTCTTTTGCTCAAGGCTAGCGCTCTACCACTTGAGCCACAGTGCCACTTCCAGCTTTTTCTGCTTATGTGATACTGAGGAACGGAACCCGGGGCCGCATGCATGCGAGGCCAGCGCTCTGCCACTGAGCCCCAGGTTGTTGAACTTTCGCCTGGGGCCTGACCCCTTTGTTTTGTGCCTGGCTGAAGCTTTAGGTGTTCCCTTAATGCACATCTGGCGTCTGGGGCCTCTGCAGGTTTGTATGTGTGCGGGGGTGCTCAGACGCCCGCAGCCTGTCTTACAGGGGTCCGGGGTGCTGGGGAACAGACGCTCTGTTGTGTGCATATCCTGCAGGGTACACATGGCCTGCGGGGCCGGGAGGAGAAGAGGAAGCGTGTGAAGCAGGAACAGGTCCAGGTCATAGACTGGTTCAGACACCTGGGTACCAGTTGCTTAAGCCTAATTCCAGCAAGGGCAGAACAGGAGGGCTGCTCTACCTGGGCAGTGCCTCCTCAGAGACATTGTAGCAGAGGCCTGAGCACCCTTGCCTGAGCCTTTGACCCAATGCACAGCACTGGTCTAGAAAGTCGCAGAAAGCAACTGGGACACCTGGAAGAGGTCACATCTGCATCCACTGAGGTCACATCTGCATCCATCTGATGTGGCCACACCTTTCTCCCACCTGGTCCCACCTCTTACCTGGTCCCACTTCCCTTTACCTGGACACACCTTTCCCCGCCCCCACCCTATATAAGGCCTAACCCGGAGCCAGACGCTCTCTTTTGCCAGCCGGGTGGAGTGCCAACCTTGCCTGATCCCAGCAGGTCTACTGAATAAACCCACCCCTTACCTGAAAAAAAAGAAAAGAAAAGAAAATTCTGGGCCTGTAGCATATCCCAAACCATCTTGAGAGATTGTTGTCCAAGTGTTGGGACCCACATCTCCAGGGCTGCTGGGAAAATGGCCCTGCAAATGAGGGGCCCACCCCGAGAATGCTGATCATAGGTGGATGGTGCATTATCAGAGGCCACACCTTAAAGATGTGGGGCTGGGAAGGTGGCTCAGTGGTAGAGTGCTTGCCTTGCATGCATGCGGCCCTGGGTTCCGTTCCTCAGCACCACATAAGCAGAAAAAGCTGGAAGTGGCCCTGTGCCTCAAGTGGTAGAGCACTTGAGCTGAAGAGCTGAGGGACAGCGCCCAGGCCCAGAGTTCAACCTCCACCACCAACAAAAAAAAAGTTGCGGGGGGGGTGCTGGGAAGGTGGCTCAGTGGTAGAGCGCTAGCCTGTTGCTGAAGAGCGCAGGGACAGCACCCAGGCCCAGAGTTCAGGCCCCACAACTGGCAAAAAAAAAAAAAAAACAGATCTGAGAAAAACGGACGGGTTTGCCATGGATCCAGACAGGACCTCTGCAAGTGGCAGATGCAGCGGCTGAAGTTAACTCTGTCCCTCCCGCTGTGAGCCCCTGAACAAAATGTCTGGAGGGCATGAAAAGTGAAGGCCCAGTGCTGGAGGGCAGAGAGCTGCTGGTTAAGACCAGGTGGGTGGAAAAATGCACCCCAGAGCCTCAGGCCTCTTGGAGCGGGGCAGGGCCTCTGGGCCCGGCCTGCTGTGGCGGGGAAGGGGGAGGACGGGGACAGGACCTGGGGACCCCAGCCGCTTCCTTGCAGGGCGGGCTGTCTACCTCTTATACCACCCCAGACCCCTATTTGTGCTTTTGAAACTAGCTCACCTTGATGACTGAAACTCTGAGTAACACTGACGGTTCAGCTTCAGTAACGGGTCTCCTTTTCTTAACGTTGCAGCCTGAATGTTCATTCACGCTTCCCGGGGCCATGGTCCTGCGGGCCGGGACTCACGCCTGACTCATGCCGTCTGCCCCTGAGCTCCACCCCTCAGCCCAGGCCTCGGCATGGCGTCCTCAGCAAAGCCTCAGGTGCTGCCAGAGGTGGTGCCCGGCTCTGAGGAGGAGCAGAAGGGGAAGCCTCTGGGCTCCTGGGGCTCTCTTTTTGGCCACCGGAGTGAGAAGGTTGTGTTTGCGAAGGGCGGGGCCCCGGAGGAGAGCCTGCTCACCGTCACCCTCACTGAGACTACCGTCATCGAGTCTGACCTGGGCGTGTGGAGCTCGCGGGCGCTCCTCTACCTCACGCTCTGGTTCTTCCTCAGCTTCTGCACACTCTTCCTCAACAAGTACATCCTATCCCTGCTGGAAGGCGAGCCCAGCATGCTAGGTACAGTGACGGGGCCTGGGCAGCCACCTCTGACCCGGGGCGGAGGTCTCCCAGGTGCTGTTCCCAGCCTGCCCGTCTCCCTCCCCCAGGCGCTGTGCAAATGCTGTCCACCACACTCATCGGATGTGTCAAGATATTTGTCCCTTGCTGCTTGTATCAGCACAAGCCCCGGCCCTCGTACCCGCCCAACTTCATCATGACCATGCTCTTCGTGGGCCTGATGAGGTAAGGAACGCCACCTTCAGGTGAATGTCTATTGATTCTCAGATAGGAAAAGTGTTTCTGGTCTCTGCTTGTGCTGACAGACCAGGCTCAAGCTCCTGGGTATAGAGGGTATGCTGGGGCCCTCACAGCGGCAGGCATGGGGTCACAGGCGTGCAGGTGTAGGGTTACAGGGGGTCGCAGGTGTGCAGGTGTGGCTCCCAGGGGGTCACAGGGCATGCAGGTGTAGGGCTCCCTGGGGTTTACTTCTATGAGTCCTGGTGCCACATGGATT